GCTGCCGTGAGAGCTCTGCAGCCGGAACGGGACGCCCTCATCGAGTGAGCAGCGCACCTCGCCGTTAGCCCCCGAGTCTAGATCATTTACGTGTAACAGGGCCACCACCGTCCCCGAAGGGGCGTCCTCAGAAATCTCACCTAGTGCTGACCGCACAGAAATAACCGGCACATTATCGTTTATGTCTGTGACAGTTATCGTGACTTCGGCAGTGTCAGACAGGCCGCCATCATCCTGTGCCTGCACCTCCATCTCATATGTGTCACCTTCCTCGAAGTCCAGGCTGCGCAATAGCGTGATAGCTCCAGTCAGAGTGTTAAGATGGAAGGTGTTCGATGCTTTCTCGTTTACTTTCTTAAAGAAGTATTTCACGTTACCAAAGACCCCCTCGTCGTTGTCCGTGGCCGTGACGGTGACGAGGACAGAGCCCACGGGCACGTCCTCGGGCACACGCACCGTGTACTCCGCCTGGCTGAACACGGGCGCGTTGTCGTTCGCGTCCAGCACGGTCACGCGGATCCGAGCCGTGCCCGTCCGTGCCGGATCGCCGCCGTCGCTCGCCCTCAGCACCAGCTCGTGAAACGCCGCCTCCTCCCGGTCCAGCGCCTTGGCCAGCACCAGCTCGGGACGCTGATCGCCGCCGGGGCCCGCCTGCACGGCCAGCGAGAAGTGCTTGTCGCCGCTCAGCTCGTAGCCCTGCAGGGAATTCCGGCCCGAATCTGGGTCCTGAGCCTCGGCCAGGGGAAACCGCGACCCCACTGGTGACGTCTCGCTCATTCTTTGTTCCAGCTCAGTTTCCTTGAAGCTCGGCGCGTTGTCGTTAATATCCGTGATTTCCACTTCAATTTCATAAAATTTCATTTCCCCTTCTACTATGAGTTCACAGCGCAGCACGCATTGCTGCACACTCTCGCACAGCTGCTCTCTGTCGATCCTCGCCGCCGTCACTAAATGTCCCCTCTTCCCGTTTAGAGTAAAGTACTGCGTCCTACCTTCAGTAACAATGCGGACACTGCGATCGCGGATCTCCGGCAGGTGCAGCCCCAGGTCCTTGGCCACGTCGCCCACGAAGGAGCCCTTGGGCATCTCCTCGGGCACCGAGTAGCGCAGCTGCCCCCACGCCGCCTGCCACGCCGCCAGCAGGACGGCGCAGAGCAGAGCTCGCTGCCGCCGGCCCCAGCGCCTCCCCGCCGCGCACATCTCCGCCGCGGCAATGTTCCACCGCTTTCCACTCAAGCGCCTACTCGTCGCTCCCTGCTGCTATCGCTGGCCCCTCCGCTTCTCTGCAGAACGGCTTTGCACCGCGGACACGCTCGGAGTCGGCCCGGCGGCCGAGCCTGACAATGAGCGAGCAAGCAACCGATCGAGCGGGTCCGCAGCGG